TACTTTCCACGTGAGAGCCCCATAGGTCCAGATCTGCCTGCACGCTGCCATTAACTAGTGATACGCAATGTACCAGATTTTAAACATCTTGTAGGGATCATATGCAGTCATCGGATCGCTATCTTCGATTGTTGGAAAGATGTATATCTGTTGAAACAGTTCGCGTCGCGCCAGATCAACGCTATACTATGTCTTTGAATGGTCACTGTCTTGCAGAACATACGTTTGGATTCAGACGGCGAAATGTCCCGAAGGCTTTGGTTGACCAAAACAGTGTAAACACTCTCCATGGTGCGTTTTGCGCCTTATCTTTCTTTCACATTAGCGAATATCGCGACTGCGACTTTTGAGTTTCCAGCCTGTGAAGATTTTGAAAAACTTTCATTCAGATGCGTTCTTCTCAACACCGGATAATCGAAGACATGAGATTGTCATGGAACACCGTGAGAACTGGACAGAAGATCACCGAGACAAGATCATCGCCACCATTGATGAACTCCTGGCGCAGATACGGTGAGCAGAATATATCATTTTGTACATTATAAATTTATGGTTTTTCAGAAGTATTGTGTGATCAGAATCTCTGCTCTTTTTTATGGGTACCTTTCACTTTAATCCGCTTTATTCGGCTAACAGACACTTTAACATTAACCTATTTTTCTCTGTGAATGTGAGCACTGTTCAATCCTTTGTATATAATTGATGTTTTATTTCTTACGTCAGTTTTATCTACGAAGCTGTTTAAAAAGCCTTACGAGTCACTGTGTAGGGTTCGCGCAGTCAGATAGCTCTAGGATATTGTTGAAGTTGGGTGATTTATGTGAACAGGAGGGTGGGAGCGTATAAATAATGGACCTCAAAATTTTTAGTTTGCTTTTCATGGTAGTTTTTTCATAGCAGCGGCTCTAGGAGCTGTTGAAATCGTCGACATTTTTTCGTGATTTTTCCAACACAACGCGCTAAATTTTTCATCTGCTCTTTCAAATTCACTTATTGTCGATGCTATATTATTGCTCAAATTTAAATTATTTTCGCCTTTAACACGTTGACGACCGAGCCACTTTGGGCGAAACTCCC